GAGTGACAAAGCAAATCTATGTTGCAGAGGTGAACGGCATAGTCGGGAAGGGTCGCCCTAGGCGAAAGTTTATCGACCAAATTAGCGATATATTAAAAATGGGCCATATCAAGAGTACCTTTAACCGACGAGCGTGTATGCGTAGGTATATGGATGTGGAGGAAGCGAGAGAGGTGTGTCAGGATCGTGCCAAATGGAAGTCCATAATCTCTGCCTACCCCTCTGGGTGACAGGCGTGAGTGTTTATGTTATATATGTTACTTAGGAACATTCAGAGCGTGATTTAGGATTCAGTGTTTCGCTGCAATCATGATTCCGATCCCGACTGCAGGCGGCAGCCCGTGTTCCAATCTGTTGCGAATGTTCTGTGGGTACTCTATTTATGTAAACAAAATAGGTACTTACCGCTTTTATTTAACTCCTTCCCTATATTCTTCCAAATATTATCGTCTATCACACTGTTTAAATAATTAATGTGAGATGCATCAAACAGTACGGAATATTGGACCACCTGATTTATCAATTTCTCTTCCTCGGAATCGGTGAAAATCATTTTTTCAGAAAAATTCAACGTTGGCGTTGGCGTCACTACTGATCTGCGTTCGGACGACAGTGTCGTCTGCTGCTCGGCCCGTAACGGCAAACATCATGTCGCTAGCTACGGAAGGTATTTCATAGAACTATATAGAAACCAGTAGTGTCGCGACGACACGTCGCCTGCTGCTGCTGCCTGCAGTCGGCTACGGAATTATACCTTTAGGAACGTATGTTATTTATGAGGGTAAACCTAACAGAACATTTCATGCTAGTTCTACAAATTTTCAACAATACAAAGTTCTCAACGACTTTCGTTCCATTCATAACATTTAGTTCTATTGAGGAACTAAGGTTTTGTACATCAAAGATTCCACTATACCAAATTTTTCTATTCAGCTAGAAAACATATTTAGATTAAGTTTTTGAGTTATGCTTACATATGCCTTCGTGTTAAAATTTTAACTTTCTGTCAGGGAGAAATAACTTTCAAAATAATAATACAGTGCAATCTCGATAACTCTAAACCTTGTTAATTCGTAATCCTCGGTAAGACGAAAAATATTACCGTTCCCTTAATGCTGAACGCGTTATCTCGAATTATCGGCTTTGTAACTCGAACAAAATGTTATTTCCTACCAGGTATTGATAGTACATATTTATACTCTATAATTCAAATTTCAAAAAGCAGACTTCGTAAGTCGAAGTTATAAAAATATAATGACATCTTATTTAGAATTCCCTGAACTTCTAGCAATTGAATCCAAAAGGAATGTTTGTTGTTTCTGTTCTATTGTGTGTACTTTGTATTAGATTTATGAAATAAGTTAACGTATTTTTTTCTATATTCTTAATTTCTGTTAATCAAAGTAATCACCCATGCAATCGATGCATCTTTGCCGAGGTAGTGGTAGTTTATTGATGCCCTTCTTGAAGCAATCAGCTGGACGAGAGGCAACAAATTCTTCAAAGGCATTTTGTACTGCCTCTGGGGTATTGAATTTTTTCCCGCCAAAAATTTATCCAAATTCCGGAAAAAGTAGAAGTCAGACGGAGAGCTTCCAACCCCAGCTCTTGTAACTTGGAGACCGTCTATTGTGCAGTAAGAGGTCGCGCGTTGTCGTGCAGTACAGCGGGGACGAGCGATTGACTAAAGCTGGTTGGAGACGTGCGAGCTTCTCCATCATTGTGTTCAGTTCTTCATAGTACACATCTGCAGTAATGCTTATCCCGTTTGGTAAGAAGCTGTGATGAATTACACCAGCGCTAGAACACCAAACAGTGACCATCACTTTTCCAGAGGTAAGTTTTCGTTTAGGGTATTGTTTGGGTGCCAAGATCCACCTAACTAGCTGAGCGCTTGTGATTGTCAAACAAAACTAATTTTTCGTCGTAAGTAACAATGCGATTCAAAATTCCTTCGTTTGTGTGCCTGTTGAGCAGTGCAAGTCACATCTCGACGCGCATTTTGCGCTGGCGATCATTGAGTTCGTGGGGCACGCATTTGTCAAGCTTTTTGACCTTGCCATTTTGACGAAAATGGACCAACATTGTTTTGATGCTAACATCGAAAGCTGTTGCTAATTCAACCGTAGATTGAGTATCATCAGCTTCCACAATCGCCTTTAATTCGTCATTGTCGACCTAAGTTTTCGGACGATCACGCAGTTCTTTTTTCAGGTCGACATTTCCAGAACGCAAGCGGGCAAACCAATAACAGATGGTGCGTTCGATTGTAGTATTCGCTCCGTAAACGTAGTTGTTGTTGAGTGCCGCTTGTACCGTGTTGCTACTCGGTACTCATGTTCCATAATTACTCGCACTTTTAAGTTTTTAACGTATCCATGATGACGAAAAAGATTCAAATACGATGAAAACAACGCTAACTAACAAACAACTGACTAATTTTGAAAAAAGAATTCCATGTTTATAAAATAAAATAAATGTTTAAATTACATTTCTTAGCCAAACAAATACGTGTTTGATTTGAAATGGCCAATACTACAGAACGGCAATTTCATGGGTAAAAAAATACTACATGTGTAATGAATGAATACATTCATTAAACTTTCTGAGTAACAAATCTGTGTAACTTATGTTTGTTTAGGTATGTTTGGATAAAAAAATCTCGAAATTTTTGTGAAGCCGTAAATTTTGCATTTATCTCGAAATTCGGGTTATCGAGACTCCATTGTATTTATTATCCACCTCTCGTATATCCTTACCTTGAATATTACTTTTATTGAGTTTAAGGATATTAGTTATAAGTAACATAATAATTATATTCACGGAGATCATCTTATTTGTCGACCCATAACAGTTCACTGCTGAATTTGAGCCTCTTTTGTAGGAATGATTTGTCATCATCGGCAAACTTGATAAGTTAAGTTTTTTTACGTGGTAGAGCCATGCTGCAGCTATATTAATTGTATAGTAGGAGTAATGGATCGGCTCGACCGGGGAAGGACCACGTTCTCACAGAATAACAGAGTAAAATAGCGGCGTAAAATTCTTAATGCTGCTGTGTTTCGTATCTGCAACGCATCTGCATTTTGTTTCTTTGATTTCTTTGATTTGCATACTGAAGATGTCTATAGGCCACAGCAGCTACTTACCATCAGGGGGACTGTGTGCTCGCATGTCACCCTTATCCTATAAAAAAAAAATTAAAAAAAGTTAATCGACGTCGACGGTCCAAACGCCACACGTATAGTACATTACTTACTACCTTTCACGCTGTTACCCATCGCCAGTTTAATTTTTTACATACTTTTTCTTATGTGAGATGGTATACCGACATCTATTTTGGGCCACGTAGCCTTTCCCATAGCCGCCTCAAAACCTAATGAAATGATGGATCTTACGCCGCTACCGAACGACACTTATCACACATTTTGTTTATGGATGGATTTCATTAATTAGAAAATATTTTCTCTGTTTCAACTTATAAAATCATTTTCACATGGAGCGACCTTCTCTTTTTTTCAAAGGGATTTTTATAGCTGTTGGTATACATTCCAACCGGTAAAGCTGCTACACCATTAGCTTCGCATTAAAATAATGCCAAGCGTGACAATACAAGACTAGACAACAACTAAGCTAGATTCCAAAAGGCTAATCCCAGCAGTGAATATACTTAATGTTGTCACTGTTTAATAAAATATCTTGAGAGTTATACGATACGACTTAGGGACCTTCAATAAAAGAGCCTACTTCTTTCTTTGCTGGGGTGTATCCGGTAATTCTACTAGCATCTAACTATGATCTATCTATCTATCTATAATCAAACAATCATAGATAAACTTGGTCGAATCAATACTTTTTCTATAAAATTTATGTATGTAATAAAAATATTACAAATTATTTAAAAAAAATTGACGGTCTGCTCTTGGTAATTCTTGGTAATCAATCACCCACTCCATTTGAATCAACTAAATAAATTAATATAAAAAAAAACTTTACTACGAATAAAATGTTAAAATAAACTTTATTCACTTTTTACAAATTAGTTAAAATAACTATTGGGCGGTGAATGTCCTTATAACTTAGGTACTTGTTGACATTTACAAAATATTCGCATACCAACATAAAAATGAAATTTGGAAACATGTGTGTAAAGTGAGACAAAGTATTTTTATTTGAATTATGTCAACAATTAAAACTATACATGTTCTGTGAAGGCGATAATAATTTTATAGACTTGCACCATAACCAGATCTAGACTTAAATTACATTTTTTATAAATAGAGAGTAAAAATAATTACTCTAATTATGAAAATACTCCCTACCTCTGACGAAATCCTTCACAACCTCAGCAATATGGGATTGTGTATATTCCTTTTGCTTTAATAACATTCATTTAGTAATTATATAAAAAAAATATTCAATATATTACTTTTGTGAACCCTTATTAAGACTAGCTATACTAAAAATAAGTATTAAATATGATAACAACCACATAACATCGTGTCATACATTACGAATATAAAAAATATGTGCAGTTTGTGTAAATTACAATTCAAACACGTATTTAATCTTAGTTATTACATTAAATCGTAGATATAACATTGTAAAGTCATAATGTAGACACAGTCAAAATGAACACAATAAATAGAAAATGTTGAATTATTAAACTCCTTATTTCCTATGTAGGTACAAAATCTATGGCCTTAGAAATCTTTTTTAATAATTATTAACTTAATTCGTTTTTAAATAATTTTTTAAGCAAAATTGCTTTTTATTACGTTAAATGTGACTAATTTTTAAGTTAGTGATAATAAAAATGCAGAAAACATAATTTTTTTTCAGTGGAATATAAGGAAAATATAAATCTCTTGTGTTTTACAACGACTACTGTACAAAGGAAAACCCTTGTATGGTTCCAGTGTAAATATTATATTAATAAAAAACAACAAAATATTGTTCGAAGTTTGGCGCCCGTAGGCGTATGCGCAGGCGTGGATTTCTCACGATGACACCGCTAAGCTGGCTCTGTGCTCTTTGAACAGCAGGTAAGAACTGCCTGCGTATGCGATGGTGTTGAATAAACCAAACACCTGAAGACAAGAAAAAATATCATCATTCATTCATTCCTAACAACATATGAGCTTAAAGTACACTGCTGCCACAAAGGTCTCCCCTGTCTTAAAGGAGGGATTTTGCCATAATTAAACATAAGCCACGTTTGGCCAGCGAGTGGGCAAGCTCAGTTAGATTTTCACAGTGGTAGATTCTTACGCTGTTACTACACGGCCCAAAGAAGAATTGTTATTAGTGTCCGAAAGAATAATTTTAAAATGCTATTTCGTATATTTTATACACATAAGTCTATAGAATTATCATTTTTAGTAACATTTCTTATGGTTATTTTATAGTTTTTGTTCGAAGAATCGATTAAAAGTGAAGTGAATTCTTGAACACTTTTTCATGTATCAAAATATCAGATCAAAATTAAAATTAATTCATAACAAAATTCTATATAATTATGTTATAATGTATTAACGATGTATTATTAATATCATGTCCATTTCACCTGATTTTTAGCGTTTCTCTTTTGCCACATACTCAGAGTGTATGTATTTTAATATTCCGAACATAGCACTCAAACTCTCTTAACACTACTCGTAAGTGAAAGTAAGTACGTATTTCGTAAACAGAAAATGAGTTCAAAGAAAGTGCATTGGGTCAGTACCAGATATTTATTTCATTTAAAATATGCCAGGAGGTTGAAAAAAATAAATTAATTTATATATGTTTAATAAAATATAAATTCTAAGGTTCAGCAAAGATCTATCATATTTTTTACGAAAGGGTAGTCCGCCGCACTGCTCCAGTGAGTTTGCGCGAACTTCACATCCTCGAAATGAACGTGTTGTTGTTTCACGATGTTTTCCTACACCGCTAGTGGTAAATCAGCACATAAAATTTCAATTAACAATTTCATTGGTGCCGGCGGGGATCGAACCCGAGCTGAGAATGAAATATCAAATGTATGATTAATGTTAGGTTTATTTTTACTATCAATTTTTTTTAGCTGATTTATTGACTTATTTTAAACATTGTAACGAAATTATTATTTTTATAATTAAACGCATTAGACATGACAGTGAAACAAAAGTTTAACATGGTGTGAACATGACAGTCATTGAGTTATATGTACTACGTACTAGAGAAGCCATTCCGAACATTGACTATGTTCAACTGAACTGTAGTGCAATCCATACAAACTAAATATTGCGTAAATTGAAGATTTGTGAATTCCATAAAATAATAATTATTACATTTTATTTAGAAATATGTTTGTTTAGATTAAATTAAGATATTTTATATTAAATTCTTATATTTATTTTACATTAATATCTTATTTTATATTACACTAAAGTCTTCGCGCATGCGCGACTATTACTCCCGCCGCATGCGCGAAGACATAGAGTAGGACACAATTTTTGTTTGAAATGGCTTCTCTAGTACGTAGTACATATAACTCAATGATGACAGTATAGTTTTCATAAGATTTACTATAATATAACATCTACTGTTGCCAATATACTCTGTAGGCTTAGATTATATATGATCTAAGACTAAAGACAAAATTAATGGTTGACATCGAGTTCTTAGAAATGAAATGCCAATGTCAAGCATATAAAGGGCAATGATGATTTAATTACATAATCTCAGTAATTACGATTTAAAAAAATACTACTTACAGCTGCAGCGACGTTGTTCGCGTAAGATCCGTACACCGCCGTGAACATCACTATGAAGGCGATTAAAAAGAAGAACGTCTCGAAGGTCGTACTGATCAATTCCTGGAAAATAAAAAATAAATATCATCAATATGCTATTTCAATATCGGTTTACACGAGTACTAATGATAAATTTAAAATTTTGTACAAACGACTTCAGTATCGATGATTTTTTTTAAAAACCCCTCGACCGATTTCGATAAAATTTAAATGGGACCACCTGAGAACTATACCCTTTAAAACAAAAAAAGAATATCCAAATGGGTTCAGGCGTCTTTGAGTGATCGGTGAACATATATATTTAAAAAAAAAATCCGATGAATTGAGAAACTCCTCCTTTTTTGAAGTCGTTTGAAAATAGACTAAAATAAGACTGTGTGCACCCTTACTCCTATACCTAACTATAAAAAAAAAAAGCTTAAAAGTACGGATACCAAGATTGGTAGCGAGAAGTAAAGGCTAACCGACATATCCCGTAGAACCAATAACCTAGGGAAAGAGATTCCCATATAGAAATTACATGGGTGGGGAATAATATGTGAAACATTGTGAAAATCTATAGGAAAGGCCTTTGTTTAGAGATAAACTTGCGATGGCCTGCATCGGTAATGAAGACACACTTTTATTTGCGACAATTTTGTTTGCTCCGCCTCGACTATTTTTTGTACCTAATATATAGATCTAGATAATAGGGCTTAATTTCTGCCTAATATGTACCATTTACTTATCTATTTCTACAGCTAAACAGTAGTATGACTCTCGTTTTTAATATTCCGTGGGTACGAGTAAATACCTAGTACGATATGTGGGCATTTTTGTCTCTCTCGCTGCGATGCTATGGCTATGGCTATGGCTAGACAGTGATTATAGCTGATAAGCTATAAGCACTGTCTCCAATCTGGACGCTTTAAAGATTTCTTGCGAGACTCAATGTAGGAGTAACGTTTTGAGAAGGTCATATTCTCTAGCTGTACCCACAATTTGTATTCCAACGGGTTCAGATTAGGACTAGACGAGAGCCAATCTTCAGCTATTATGAAGTCAGAAATATTGTTCTCGAACCATATTTGAGTTTCCGTGCCTTGTGACCGGGAGCAAAGTCTTGCTGGAAAGTCGACGGTACATGTTCGCACTGAAATGCAGTTTCTTGATAAACCTTCTTAACTTCTTTGAAGGACATCATTTTTGAATGTAGAGATGACGACCACTTTACACTCTTCCAACAACTTGCGAAACTTCTTTATAACAGTGAGCCTTTGCCATTTAGCTCTGTAGGCTGTAGGCCTGTCTGTAGGTATAGTATTTTTTGTTTACTTATTTTTCTAGAATGGTGGTGACAAACGAGCAGTCAACAAGTCCACGTCCAAGTAAGTGCAAAACGATTTAAGTTTCCTTCGTAATATATTTACTATATGTTACTCCAAATTTAATTCCATAAAAAAAGAAAAACTTTTTAAATTTTAACATTGTTTATGGTTTACTTAATACAAACATGTTAGTCCCTATAGGGATAACAACGCGTCTATGGAATTCTTTGTTTGAAATTCATTGCAGGTGTCTATGGGCTACAGGATCTATTTAACATCGGGCGTACTCGTAACTCGTAACTCGTTTGTTACTCTATTGTTATTAATAAGAATAAAGAATCATGCTAGCTATGCAACTCAGATTATTTAACAACATTTCTAAACTATTCTTTAACTAATCTGACTGATCGTTAACGTGTAACTACCATACTAAGACCGCTGGCAACATTAACCAAAAAATTAACAGTAGCTTCCTTTCACAAAAAGCTTATTTAAAGAATAGTCTTAATGTTCGTGGCTTTGTTATGTTATCTTTAAAAAATTAATATGCCAAGTCTACATTTTTAGAAGTTCATTTTAATATAAAGTAATTACTTTTTATAGCAACCCAACGAAATAATTCTCCAAGGGGAATATAACAATAATGTTCTCATTCTTTAAATTACAACGATATCGATTTCGACGAGTCGCCATAGTCTACATCCATATTATTTTGTTATGTAGTGTATCATATTAGGTAATATAACTTGTTTATATAACATCAAAAAGACAATGACAAATAACTCCTTACCCATCTTTGTTTTAAAATTTGATACTTACGGATAAAACCCAATTGATGGGAAGCTTCAACGCCTCTCTGATGCTAAGCAAGTAGACAAAACTCCACATTAGTGTGGTGATGAAGGATGTGACCGCAACAAAAACGTACCACGAGGATGCCCATGGCGAACCCAACGCCATGCAAAAGATGCCTAAGATCTGAAAAAAAAATTCTTCATTAGAACTACTTAAATACGTAACATATTCAAAATTACTTAAATACATAACACGCATAATAAGTAAGTAAGTATTTTCTATCAACACAACAATATTATAAAATCAAGCGTCATCATCACAGTTTAGCTGTAGTATGATTTAACCGAAATCAGTAAGCACATATTCCAAAATATGATTGAATTAAATTACTAGAATATAACTCTAACATAACCCCGTTGTTATAGTAAAAGTTAGTTATTCCCAATGAAGTTCATAGTTCATAGCACAGCTCAAATTACGGACATTTTTAACCCTATTTTCTTCCTTTCATTTTATATGACAAATAGATAGACAACCTAGTACGAAAACTTTCTTTACTCTACTCTACTCTACTCTCTGACTCTACTCGCTATCATCGTTTTGTAAATTTTAAATCTAACATTTTGTTATCTTGCCATGTGTGGAATCCAATAGAAGAAGCAATACCTTACTTAGTAAAACCCTAATTACAAATTATACCTCTGCTCAAGCACTCTGTCCCTTTTACCTGAGTTAGATCAGGTAGCTGGATAACGATTTAAAAAATATTAACCGAAACGTTTACCACACCGAACTATGTAACTTTTAGTTTATTACTTAGTAAAAATTAACAAGCAAAGTTTAAATTTAGTAAATTGGATGACGCAGTTGTTTTGTACACTTACTAAAAATTAAACTGTTGTAATGATCTGGTACCCTTTAGAGATATGAACTTTGTATATTTTAACGACATGACTCATCACTGATACATTATTATGTACTTACGTTATCATGACATTTTTTTGTTGTTTAATCAACCTCGACAGTAATTAACTTATTATCGAGTGAATATGCAAGTAAGACTTACATTTTGTAAGTACACAAGTTTTAAGAAATATACCAACTAGCCTACTACCATAGAGTACAAACATAAATAGCGAAACCTACTCCTAGGTACTAGTATATTTATAAAGCGTACTTGACGCTTTTTTAAACCTACATTCTTTCTTCTACAAAATTTTAACGTCACTTGAATTTTTTTGTCCCAAAATTAAATTATTTTTATATGATTTCCTCCCCCAACTATCCCTCTTCCTATTAATACGGTATCCCTGTCATCATTAGAAAAGTATTTGTTAATCTGAGTCATTAGTATTTACACCTGTTCTAAATGTTTTGTAATTATTGTATATGTTACGGCTAAAACCAGAAGTGCGAATGCACCTAGGTTTAGCCGGCTACTACACTACTAAAAGTAACATATACATACTATTACAACTTAAAATACTGATTTTATATGTCTTCTATGGGGGAGACCTATGCTCTTCACTGGAGTTTTATAGGCTGTAATTAATTAATAAATAAAACAGTGGTGACGGATCTTATTCAAATTCTTATGATTTGCTTTTGTTTTAGATTTGGGATTCTTAATTCAAAAAGTAATGGTTTCCCATATTAACGCGAACATAATGATTTCTTATATTTACGCGAACACTACACATTTAAATAAAACTAGTTTTACGGATTTTATCGTGTATATTAACTTATTTTATATTCCCGACGTTTCGAGTACTTTACAGCACCCATGTTCACGGGGGGACTGAGGTGTTGACGTCCCAATGTGTGTGTTTAAATTATTTAATTTCAAAAAGTGTTTAACCATTAAATATACGTAATAATTCTGTTGTCCCTCCCATTACTGACATGACAATGGCGGAATTCTATTTGAGTAGCCATATATAATAAGAGTAATTTTAACGGCGAAACGTAAAAGACAAGCGTGAAATATAATTTTACAACATTGATCAGTTCTTTCAAAATAAACCACAGTTTCAAGAAAGAATTGTTGGTTGTATCGTGCAATGCGCTTAAGAGCGATCGTTAACGTAGCGGTATATCCCAGGTACGAGTAGCACCACAGATGACTAGGGTATTACGATGTATCATTAGGGCAACGGTGTCAGATGAACGTAAACACATAGCTTACCACACTACTGGATAATACGTGGATGTTTGAAAGAAATACTAGACCGTTAAAGATAATATAAAAAAACACGTCGTTATTTTTACTTCTATTAGTTACTGCTGTATTTATTTATGTAGGCATCAACAAGATATAAGCTTTACAAATTTTAATAAGAAATACTTGAATAAAACTACCTTTACGAATGCTATCGCGTTTAATTAACTTATTTTTATTAAATTCCCGACGTTTCGGGTGCTTTACAGCACCCATGGTCACGGGGTCACTGAGGTGATTGACGTCCAGATGTTAATCCGGAGTATTTTCACTATCCACTACCCCATACCTTCCCGTGGGTGTCGTAGGAGGCGACAGTGGGAAACAGGCAGGAGATGGAAAGCAGCATCTTCCTGATAACAGCGAAATTACAATAAAAAGAACTGCGGTTGCCAACCCGCTTGCCAAGCCTAGCAACTATAGCAAATATCCCCCATGAAATGAAAGTACGACGAGACGGACCGCAGTCCCCGGAGGTCCCGCTATTCCTGGCTACTCGTTTAGAATACCATTTCTCAAAGCGTAGCAGTTACTGCTGTAAAAGCGCAGGATCCATCCTATGATCGCTGATGGGTTTAACTATGTTTAGATAGTCAACATATAAAAATATTCCTGAGTACTTAAAGGATAGTCTAACACCGTTAATGAATACTTATGATAAAAAAATCAATCGATTCATCTATACATATAAATAAATTTGAGGTGTCTCTCTATTATATCGAAATAGCTGTTTTATTTAGCTGAGGGGGTTATTTGTATGCGACTAAGTCATCAATAATCATTTTTAAATTTTATTCTGGCTGCTTGTCTAGGCTAATCTTAGGAATGGCTGAACCGATTGTAGTGAAACTTATATAGAGCAATGGAACCAGAAGTGATTTAGGCTTTAGTTTAATTTCATCCGAAAAACTTGGCCAAAATAACGAAGAATTGATAAAATTTATGGTTTTTGATTAATTTTAATCCAAATAACGCCACATTAAATAGATACCCGCCCCAGATTTGCCTGGGTTGCTAGATTATTATATACTTATAATATAATTTAAAATTTTGTACAGCCGACTTCAATATAAGTTATTAAGAATAACTCAAAAACCATTGGTCTGACCTTGATCAAATTCATATGGGACCACACGAGAAGTACCAGCTTTCAAATAAAAAAAGAATCATCGAAATCGGTTCACCCAGTAAAAAGTTATGAGGTAGCACACATAAAAAAACATACAGTCGAATTTAGTAGGTACCGTCTCCTTTTTGGAAGTCGGCAGAAAAAGCCGCGACATATATGAGTAAATTGATACTGACATAATTTTTTAAGTGACAAATATGATCAACTTCATGGACGTATAAATAAGTAATAAATAAACCTTATTTATACGTCCATGATCAATTTGAACACTTGCAACAAGGGGGCATCGAATTCAAATTGTAACTACCCAACCATCTCATAAGTTGTTGAGAATTAAAAGTTAAATACCTAGTAATTATTGAGAATTTTGCAAATATGTACGATGAGACTGTTTTCAGTAATTAATATGCTATTTTTAATTATTATGGACATATCGATTGCTAAAACTTTATAAATATTTCGTGTTGTCCTGTGTTCTTCAATATGCGTATGTTAGATGGCACTTTTTACATTTTTATTTAAAATCCGCCTTTTCGTTAAAAAAATATGGCAGTCCTGCGTAAATGACGCTATAGAGCCCAAGTACTGCCCCCCCCCCCCCCCCCCTCCCTCTCCTTTTGCCACTTGGCACATACGAAGTACGAACCGGTTTTGTATCGCCAGTGTTACAGCCGGAACGAGCTAGCCGTCGCAGTACTAGCGAGCAGGTGTTATTTGTAGAAATTCCAACCGATAACCGGCAATTTTTTGTTATCGCTTAATATGAAATACAGAGTACGTACGGAATCTAGCCTAGTAATGTAAAATAAAATTCTCTAATAATGTCATTAATTCTTAATGGGCATGTAATAAGTATAATACTTACTTGTTATAGGTATCAAACCACACTATTCAGAAGAGCTTGTATAGGTATATGCATTATATTTTTATGTTCTTGGTATTGTTTATAACTGATTGTTTCGATAAAATTGTAGACACGAAACCACAAACAATCAGCGAGGTCGGATATAATAATATATGTCATGAGAGACGTGCACAATCGGTGAAAGTGCGTAGCCAGCCTCGCTGTGCATACGGATAGGACACGACCGCCATTCCGAAACCTCTATCAATGGGTTCGCAGACCATCAACGCTTTTACGCGACCAAGCCTCGCTCTAAATAACGATACGTTGCCGGATTTCCGATTCGGTGATAGGGACACGCAAAACTTTAAATTTAGATTTGTATGTAAGTGCTTAGATTTGTATGTTATGCTTACTATCGAAGGAAATGGGTCGAATTAATGTATGCATTTAATTACAGCTGAAAGATAAAAAAGATTGATAATTGGGGGTAAATTATAATATTAAGAAATTAGAAAAAAAAATTAGAAGATCAATAACAATATTCTGATTGGTCATTGTCTGTGATGAAAGCTTTCAAAACTAAAAAGGCCCACATACTATATTCTTCTTTGTATTTTGATTTTGCATATTGTTTCACTTTTAAAAAATTTGAATGATATAGTGTCTTTCCAGTCCAAAATACTACAAGGCGACGTGTTGTCTATAGAAATGCTGATTTGACATGGGAGTGCCTTTGAAGAAATAATTATCCGTCAATTTGTTTTACCGACAAATCTTGGACACCACTTTTTTAAAAAGGGCATTTTATTAAATTTTATAAATACAACATAATACTTTTATATTTATACGTATAAGCTGCAACTTGTGTTCACGTGACCTTGAATAAAGTTATTGTTGTAAGTTTTAACAATAGAGCCTAATCCATTTGCTTGTCATACCACCGACGCCATGTTCCCACAACTAATTATTCACCTTACTTCTTAATTACT